GGAGGGAACGGAGATGTGCAATGGACATTGGCATGCGGATTTCGCATCTGGCTGCCACACCCCGCAGCGTGGGTATAAGAGGCAGCAGGTGCACCGCATTCATTTATGCTTTCGCTGAGGAGCCGAGCCAGTGACCCGGCAGCTCAGCGGTGGTCCAGCAACTGTGGCCACGGGACATGACGTCTCCGTTCCCTCCTTCAGGGAATGAGGGTTACATATGTAACCGAGACGTTCCCTTTCAGTCGGTCACTCTCGACGTCAAGTCGGTGATGAACGACGAATTGGGATCCCTACCAACACGCCACAGGTTCTGCCCCCTCCAGTGCCCTGTGTAGGCCTCCTGATCATTCCTATAAGGCAGATGATAGGACTGGGCTCTACACAGAGAAGGTCGACTACAGTTGTTCCTCACAACCCAACAGTAGGACTTGGATAACACTGGGAAAGCGTGCCCTTCCATTTGGAAGAGGACACACTGTAGAGTCACCTCCTCCCAGAGGGGGTTAAGTGACATTTACTCACATGGAGTAACACCGAGGGGCCCTACTGCACATGGAAGTCTCTGAGATGGCTCATGGCGGCATCATTTAGAGACAGCAGAATGTGGTCTGCCAGGGGAAACACGGCCTTAGTAGGTGTACTGTGGAAATACACATATGGGATCCCAACCGGGTCACTCGTATGGGCACTAGCCTCACACCAGATCCGCCACATCTGGCAAAGCTAGGGCTGGGTCTGCCTCCTCCAGGGGCAGCACTTGCAGGTTCACCACCTGGTCCCTGAAGGGAGTGGTAGTAACCTTGGGCACGTAGCCGGGCTGGGGTCTCAGTGTTGCACTGGAATCAGCCAGCCCAAACTCAAAGCATTATTCGTCAACCGAAAATGCCTGCAGGTCCCCCACCCTCTTGATCGAGGCCAATGCAGTCAGGAGTAGGGTCTTCATAGAAAGAAACTTCAACTCGACTGACTGCAAAGGCTCGAAGGGGGCAGCTTGTAGGGTTCTTAGCACCAATGCCAAATCCCAAGAGGGCCGGGAGGGAGGCCTAGGAGGATTTAACCTCCTGGCCCCCCTAAGAAACCTGACGAACAGATCATGCTTCCCCACCGACCTCCCCTCTATGGGGTCGTGATGGGCCGAAATAGCAGCAACGAAAACCTTAAGGGTGGAGGGGGACAGCCTACGCTCCAACCCTAGCTGCAAGAAGGAAAGCACGGCTCTGATTGAACATCTCCGAGGGTCCTCATGGTGGGAAGCTAAAAAGCTAAAAGCTAAAAAGCAGTGGTTAAAAAGCATAGCTCAAAGCTATGACTAAAAAGCTGCATGGCTAAAAGTGATGTCTTGAAGCAGTGGCTAGAAGCTAAAGTTAAGAAGCTAGACGCTAAAAAGCACTCTTTGGGTTGTTCAACACCAATCTGATCAAATCTTAAAGTGTCTGATTCGCTCTGATACCCTACACATGTACAGACTAAAAATAACTAATATTACAAGAAGACATTAGTACTGTCGGTAAAATTGATCCAGCAGATGCATTACACAAAAACTTGCCAACATTTTTTTTTTATTAAAAATAAACAAATAAATAAAATACCCAGTAAAATGACCCAGCAGGCTAACCCCAGTGTTTAGGTTGAAAAGAACAAAATAAATAACCTACTACTTTTTAGAGTCTGTATTTTGTTGTTTACTTATGCATGGCCTTCATTGACCTAACCTGATTTTTATCTTATTTCATACTTTAATTTCAGAGATGTCAGCGATCAGCTCCAGTCCAGATGATCCAGAGATCAGGATTCTTCTGATGGGCAGATATGGTTCTGGGCAAAGCTCATCAGGAAACACCATACTGGGAGAAATGATGTTTAAAGTTAAGAAACATGAGACTGAAGTGTGTGAGGTTAAAACACAGATTGGTGGGAAGCAGGTGTATGTGATTAATTCTCCAGATCTATGGCATCCATACCTGAATAAAGAGAAGCTGAAGATGATGAAAGAGAAGCTGGTCTCTCGATGTTCAGCAGGTATCAGTGCAGTTCTACTCACCGTTCCTCTAGAGCAACCTGTGCAAAATGAGGAAGAGATCCTGGATTATATTAAAGACTTACTTGGTCCTGAAGTTCAGAAATACATGATGATTCTGTTCACACGTGCAGATGAACTAAAAGAGCTGGATAAACCACAGACCATTGATGAATATCTACAACATGAAAAGCATGTGGATCTCCGGCAACTGGTGACTGAATGTGGAGGAAGGTTTCACTGTTTCAATAATAAGAGTGAATCAGACGATCAGATAGAAATACTACTGCAGAAGATTGAAACAATGATGAAGAAGAATGGAGGGAAATTTATCATGGAACGAATGAGGAGGAGTGACAGTAAAAGAGATCCTCCTGTCTTTTGTAAGTTGTGTTTTATTATTATTAATGACTTAAATAATATAAACATAAGATGATTTTTTCACTAAGTGTACATCACTTGTTCGTTGCACTTGTCATGTGGGAAGAATCCCTGAAGTGTGTTTTATCACTGACTTGATTTGATCTGTAGTTTCAGGAGAGTCTTCAGCAATAGTTCCAGATGATATTGATGTGATTCCTGAGAAAAAAGACCAGATCAGGCTGGTTCTGCTGGGAAAAACTGGATGTGGGAAAAGTGCCACTGGAAACACCATCATCGGCAGAAACATGTTTACATTTTCAGCAGGTTCAAAATCTCAGACCAAACTGTGTCAGTCAGAAACTAGAGTGAGGTATGGTAAAGAGATTACAGTGATCGACACTCCTGGATTTTATGATACTGAACTCAGTAAAGAACAGGTTCAAAGAGAAATAGTGAAATGTGTATCATTATCCTCTCCTGGACCACATGCTTTTATTATCATCATTAGAGTGGGTCGATTCATCCGATTCATTGAGGAGGAGAAAAATACAGTGCAACATCTCAAAGAAGTGTTTGGAGAACAAATACTAAAATACACCATGATCCTCTTCACCCACAAAGATCAGTTGGAGGAAAATAAAACCACTAATCAGTATGTGCAGGATGGTGATCCAGATCTTAGATAACTTGTAGAGAGTTGTGTAAATCGATTCTTCTGTCTGGACAATGAGACTGCCAGTTTCCCACAATTCAAAGAACTGATTATTGAAATAGAGACGATGGTGGCAGAAAATGGAGGGACACATTTCACTAATGACCTGTTTGAGAGAACGGAGAAATACATTCAGAAGTTTCAGAAACAGAAACTGGATGAGAAAGTGAAGCGGTACAAACAGCAGCACAAACGGCTCCATTAAACAGAATGGAAGAAAATATGCTGTCGTTTAGCTGAGGAGTCACGATGGGAAGCTCAGCGATCTTTTTCTGAAGTATTTCTAGTATACTTGAACCTTTTCATGAATCACTGATCTTCAAATGATTCATTTTAAAACATTATAATCACAAATTCAATGCTTCTATAGAGAGAACCATTAAATGTTTGAACAACTACTCAATTATCAACTACAAAATAACAAACTATAAGCTTTATAACATTCAGCCTCATTAATGAAGAATAAAGACCAACCTGTTAGTTGTTCAGTATCTTCAGTGTGTTTGATTCTGCAGGGTTCTGGATCTCTCATCTTCTCTCTGTCCTCTTTAATAAACTCAGTCTTTACAGATTTCAGCTCTTCCTGATGATTAGATGTGTTAAATATTCAACAGAAAAATAAAGAAAAGAAGACCTTAAAGACAACAAGGTGTTTCTCTGCCTGAGAGGCAGACACCTTATACTCACATACAAGTGTTATACTTGAAAAAAAAAACAGTCTTCTTTTGTAATGAAAAGGCATCAATTATTCAAAGCAAGACCAACGTTGAAAGTCAAGTCACCTTTATTTATATAGCGCTTTTAACAAGTCAATAATGCAAAATGACAATAGTAAACACTCATTTTTCAGTTAAAGATAGTTCATCATTGAATTCAGTGATGTCATCATCCAGCTCAGTTCAGTTTAAAATAGTATCTTTGCAATCATTTGCAATCAAGTCAACGATTTCGCTGGAAATGAAGTGTCCCCAACTAAGCAAGCCTTTTGTGTGAAACTCTTCCCGCACTGATCACATGTATACGGTTTCTCTCCAGTGTGGATCCTCTCATGTATTTTCACATCTCCAGACTGACTGAATCTCTTATCACAGTGTGAACACTTGTACAGTTTCTCTCTAGTATGAACTCTCATGTGACGCTCAAGACTTGTTTTGTCTGTGAAACTGTTTCCACACTGAGTGCAACTGAAACATTTCTTTGCTCTTCTTTCCTTTAAATCTTTCTGTTTGGTTTGAAAGCAACTCAAAGGTTTCTCTGCAGTTTTCACATGATTTTTCTCCTCAACTTCACTCAATTCTTCATTCTCGTTGTTTTCTTCAATCAACTCTGAAATAAAAGTAAAAACGGTTAACTTTCAGTAACCCTGATGAACCCTGATGTAACAGTGTAAAGTAGACAATTGTTATACAACTTTTTGGTCATTTTGATGCATCTTTATAAACTATACTTCCCTGAAACTTTTCATGAATCACTGATCTTCAAATGATTCATTTTAAAACATTATAATCACAAATTCAATGCTTCTATAGAGAGAACTATTAAATGTTTGAACAACTACTCAATTATCAACTAGCTAAAACACCATTTAATAAATAAATCAAATGTAAAATAACACTGCAGAGTCTTTTATCTTTTGTTGTCTGATTATCATTAAGGACACGGACAGCTGCAGGTTTATTAGGCTGCTGTCACTTCAAGAACTAATGCATGGATCCTATATACTGACACAGCAGATTTTCTCTGCTTTTTTTTAAATATCGCTTTACATCAAACATTTCATAATCCACAGAAGCCAAACTCGAAATCAAAAATAAAATAAGATTACTCGCACAGCACTAAAGTGCACTGCATTTTAAACACAGCATCAAAGTGCAAGAGAGATCTCGCTTCTGGATTGTAAATAACGAAAACACATTATAGACAAATGTCTTGATATTATCGCATATACAAACGGTTGGAAAGTTACAATTTGCTTGATAACTTTTATGTAGCAATAATAAATTGTAAGTGGTTTTTCTTAATTTTTCCAGTACCGAAGAAGCGATGACGTCAGAGCTTATCGATACTACAGTCTTTTGTAATTTAGCCCCAGAGCTCGTTTAATACTGGGTTCAGGTACCATTCCTACTTACAAGAGAAGCACAAAAGAATCAGTTACAAAGCTACATGACAGTATATCATTACATCTGTGTTTTCTAAAATACATCATAAGTGGAGAATAACTATTTATTTCAAAAACAACAAGATAATTTAAGACTTTAACAAATGTTAAAGACATTAAAAATTCAAATAAAAAAATAACAGCACCACCTCTCTTGCACATATTTTGTGATGTTATTCTGTGTTTCGGAGCAGCTCATGCCGTTTCTCATCACGCTGTGTGAAAAACAGACTGAACAGAAGCTCAAAACACCCGACCACTGCATGAGCATATGATACGCAAACTACAGCTCTCGGTTGGATAAAAGAAGCCAGTGTTGCACTAGCAAGGTTTTGATGAATGACGATTGTGATCAAGGTGAAGACGATTATAGTGACACACAGGAGTCATGCATTAGACGCGCTCTTATCTGTTATTATTGATGCGCAAACAAACCATGTATGTGTGCTCTTGGCACATCTAAAACATTGTATTTCTGCTTGAACACAGTTCAGTATATTCACATTGCTGTCAAAATGAATGTACAGCGAGTGTTTTATAACGGATGCTCGCCAAATAAGTGTATTTTGGAGAAGTTTGTGAGGATCAGTGGTGTTTATGTACATATGGGTATCAGACGCTCAGAAAAGCTTGTTCTGACAGAGGACCTGGCTGTTGACTGATGACATCGAGCCGCCTTCATCAATGAGTTTCCAAACATTTAGAATGATTTCATTTTTCATTTGTATTTTATTGTTTTTAGTGATTCTGAATAGATCCGTATAGTGGCTATATGCAGTCCTTTGGTGTCTCCCTGTGGTATTTTTTGGTATGGCAGGTTGACTTGTGCTTATTTGTTAAAGTTTCTGTATAATAGCTTCACATACTTAGAAGTATTGACTCGGAGGGGAGGGGGGCCTTGGAGTAAAAAAGGTTGAGAATCACTGATTTATATCATGAAGCAAAATTATATACAAGAAAAAAAAAACTTTTTGACATTGTTCTTTGGGGAGGAACTCCATCTCTGAGTTGATCTGAATCTCACAGTTGAATCTGCTGGTTTTGAAGATGAAGATGAACTTTATTCATTGTGAAAACTTTAGATAATGTTTCTTTGTCCTGTCACTTGTAATGTCTGGTTAGGACAGATTGATCCAGATTATATTTTATTGCTTGATGCATTATTGTGTTGCATTTGGTGAGAACGCAGCATCAGATCTGAAAGTGCTGGATCTGAAGATGATCTACTTACTGTGAATGTTTTTTTGTATGACTGTGTAGAGAAGTAGTCTTTTCACACTCAAAGCACATGTACTCTCTCACAGCAGTATGCATTTTTCTGATGTTCTTTTAAATATTGTAAACATGAAAAACTCTTTCCACACAAATGACATGAATGCCGCTTCTCTCCAGTGTTGATCTTCATGTGATCCTTAAGAGTTGATGATCGTGTGAAACTTTTCCCGCACTGATCACTTGTACAGTTTCTCTCCAGTGTGGATGTTCATGTGCGTCTTAAGGCTTGATGACTGAGTGAAACTCTTCCCGCACTGATCACAAGTGAATGGTTTCTCTTACCAGGACAGCCAGGCACAAGAACAGTTTCTTTCCCCAGGCAATCTACCTCATGAACAGTTAATGTTCTCCCATTGTGCAATTAAAGTACAGTATGTGCAATAACCTTATACTTATTTATCACCCTAAATCCTAGTACATCCCTACAACTTATTTTATTTTATTCTATTCCTATTCCATCTATAGCACACCTGTACATACAATTTATTCTTTTTTTTGTGGTTTATATTTATGCATGTGTATTTTATTCAGATCTCATTTTTATTATCTGTGTGTTGTTGTTGTCTCCGTGTACTGGAAGCTTGTGACACTATAACAAATTCCTTGTATGTGCAAACATACTTGGCAATAAAGCTCTTTCTGAGATCAAGATGACGTTTGTGTATGAAACTCGTTCCACACTGAGTGCAGGTGAAAGATTTCTTGGCTCTTTTCTTAAAATCTTTCTGTTTGGTTTGAGAGCAACTCAAAAGTTTATCTCCGGTTGTCTCATGGTTTTTCTCCTCAACTTCACTCAGTCCTTCTTTCTCCTTGTTTTCTTCAATCAACTCTGAAATAAAAGAAAAAACGGTTCATTTTCAGTAACTCTCAGTAACCCTGATGAACCCTGATTTAACAGTGTTAAGTAGACAATTGTTATACAAATTTTTGGTCATTTTGATTCATTTTTTATAAATTATATGTCTCTGAAACATACCTTGAATTAGGTGCACTGATCTTCAAATTATTATTTTTAAAACATGATCACAAATTCCATGTTTCTACAGGGAGAACTATTAAATATGCTTGATCAACTGCACAATTATCTAACATAAATATTATTTTAAAAGTATCATATTACAACAAATATACATTTGCTTGAAGCTTTACAACATTCAGCCTCATTAATGAAGAATAGACACCAACCTGTTAGTTCTTCAGTATCTTCAGTGTGTTTGATTCTGCAGGGTTCTGGATCTCTCATCTTCTCTCTGTCCTCTTTAATAAACTCAGTCTTTGCAGATTTCAGCTCTTCCTGATGATTTGAAACTCGTCTTCACTTGTAATCTGATGGAGATATTCCAGCATTTATTGCTGAACTGTTGAATGTGTGATTGTTGTGGGAGGAACTTCACTGATGATGTGATTATTGTGGGAGGAGCTTCGCTGAACATGAATGTCTGTGTAAAAGAAGCAGATTTGCCAAAATCAACAATAAATCAGTCAGTTTTTTAAACTAATTTACATATTTAAGCATTTATGTAAGTGAAGCAGATGTTCTCAAAATGTTATATTTGAAGAGACCAGAGTCTAACAAATATAAGGTGTTGGCTCTTTGTAAATCATTATATTGCTATATTAAAAGAAATAGCGTCAACACAAAGAGCACATCAATTTAAAATGCTCATTCAGTAACACTGCACTCACATACTATGCAATTCTGTTTTCTGTCTTTTTATTGTTAACATCAATAACCATATTTTATTTTTCATTCTGCCTTAGTATTAACATAAAAGAAGATATCTGTCTAGAAATATAGAAAATTATACAATGTAAATTCTTCCAAATATGTGTTAAAAGTAACAGCATCAACACAAAGAGCAGATCAATTTAAAATGCTC